GCCTACGTATGTATAGGAGTAATCCTTCTCCGGGAGCCTGTATGTATAAGAGTAATCCTTCTCCAGGAGCCTGTATGTATAGGAGTAATCCTTCTCCGGGAGCCTGTATGTATAGGAGTAATCCTTATGTATAGGAGTAATCCTTCTCCGAAGGAGCCTGTATGTATAGGAGTAATCCTTCTCCGGGAGCCTGTATGTATAGGAGTAATCCTTATGTATAGGAGTAATCCTTCTCCGAGAGCATGTATGTGTTGTAGCAATCCTTCCCAGTGAGCATAATATTCTTTCGTCCTGTAACGTGGTTCGCTTATTTTCTTTAAACCTCTACACGTCTTCTGTAAAGTTGGGAGAATTAGAAACTTTGAATAAAATTGTCATAAACCTTTCATATCAGACTTATTATACTTGAGAAAATTACCTAGACAATTTATATGGATTTAGTAGAGTCATAATTTGTTATTGGAGTAAAAACCTGGAATCAATAAAAAGTTAAGAAAATATATTTATGAATTTACAGGAGGTGTCTGCCAAGTTTTGGTCAGTTTATTCTATTGTTTTGACGAGAACTTTATGATCCATGATTTTAACTTTAGACATTACCCTTTTCCTAGGTCACGAATCCTTTCCAACTTTAGTTGATAAAAGGACAAATAACTAGGTTATGACGAGGATAAAGAACAAATAACTAGATTATGACGAGGATAAAGGACAAATAACCAGATTATGACGAGGATAAAGGACAAATAACTAGATTATGACTAGGATAAAGGATTAATAACTAGATTATGACGAGGATAAAGGACAAATAACCAGATTACGACGAGGATAAAGGACAAATAACTAGATTATGACGAGGATAAAGGATTAATAACTAGATTATGACGAGAATAAAGGACAAATAACCAGATGATGACGAGGATAAAGGACAAATAACTAGGTTATGACGAGGATATAGGACAAATAACCAGATTATGACGAGGATATAGGACAAATTACTAAATTATGACGAGGATAAAAGACAAATAACTAGTAATGACGAGGATAAAGGACAAATAACCAGATTATGACGAGGATACAGGACAAATAACCAGATTATGATGAGAATAAAGGACAAACAACTAGATTAAGACGAGGACAAAGAACAAATAACCAGATTATGACGAGGATAAAGGACAAATAACCAGATTTTGACGAGGATAAAGGACAAATAACCAGATCATGACGAGAGTAAAGGACAAGTAACCAGATTATGACGAAGATAAAGAACAAATAACCAGATTATGACGAGGATAAAGGACAAATTACCAGATTATGACGAACAATAAAGATTAAATTAAAGTTTAGAGACGAATTTTTTCCTTAATTTAAATTTGGAAAGTTTTAAACCTTCCTTCCCTCCCTTCATTCGGCCTTAATCGGAATAAAGTTCGGAAAGTTTAAAGAAAAACCTGTTTCCGGATAAATTATAGAGGGTTGGGAGAAGATGGAGGAGAAGTTGGGAAATAAAATATTTAATCTTCAGTTACCTTCCTTTTATCAATTTAGAATAAAACTAAAATTTATAAGAGTTTCTTGTAGACCTGGCTGACATATAAATGTAAAACATCAAAAGTAAAATTAAGAAAAGATTAAATTCGATCTAAGGAAAAATGTATAATATTCATTTAATGCATTTGAGACAATAAGTGTTTTCTCTGATATCTTGGAACATTTTTTTGCAACTACGACATTGGTTGCAAAGATATAAGGATAACAAAATCCGAGTAAAACCCATATTGTTTTTCATCTTAATTAAACTCCAGAGAGGAAATGGAAGAACCTATTTTACTTTTTAGATCCATTAAATTGTCAACCACTTTTCCATAAAAATAAATTAATTTTAGGTTTAGGTTATTTCTGTGGTTCTAGACTACATAATTTCTATGAATGGACCCGGAATAATTGTTCCTTTTTCAGCATGTCATGTGTAACATCCAGGGGGTAGAGTTATTCTGAATTCGAGTAAGAAATCTCTTATTTTATTTTATGCTAAACTATCAGTAAAGCAAAGGAATATCTGTATAGTTGGATACTAATGTTGTAAACCTTTGACATTTCTAACTATGACTTTTGTTAGATCAAATAATATAAGTTTGAAATACGGCAATGGGTTCCAAAGAAATGGGATTAGAAAATCAGAGTTTGTGGCAAAAACTCAATTCCTTTATTCTGCGACATATTAGAAATTCTTTTTTTCTTTTCATTAACAGGGTTGATGGTTGAAAACATAAAATATTCAATATTTTGTGTAATTTACTTTAGTCTGACCTTGGTCGCAGAACTAATTAACCTTTAATCTACATGATGTGGGACAGTGACCAACTGAAAAAAAATCTAGAATTCTAATGTAAAACACACGATCAATCTTCAGTAGGATTAATGAAAGCTCTTTTCATGAGACCAAGTTTCCTATTTATTTCATAGGTATCATTTACCAATTACAAAGTGCAACGAACGTATTTTTATAGAATACAGTATTGTATCTAATAGACATTAATATAATCTACTAGATCTAGTAAACTGGATCAGACAGGTTATAAGGGAAACAGAAATTGCATTAACAAGATAAAAGAAGAATCCCTGTTGTTCAACCTTCCTTCAGATCAAGTGAAAATAGATCAGGATAATTTATTCTAGGTCGTATTACGGCAAGGTTCCATTTCTTAGGACACTAATCAACTAATCAACTAATCAACACAACAAACTTTAACAAAAACTACAGTTTAGAAGAAAAAAGCATCCAGTCAATTAATTATCAATGAAGTTGGTTAAATTCAACAATAAACCAATTCTTCTAAGCAATTTGAAAACTTTTTTTAAATGTGTGGATTAATTTCCTGAAGGCAGGGACAAGATTTAATCCTGAGCTGATGTTTTAAGCGTAAAGTTCGAACTTACATAAACTTAAGCTTTTGATTCTTAGGTTGGCTTTTTACTGGTTCTGATTTGATCAATAAAAGACTGCTGAGAAAGTTGTCTATACATATGCAGACGGATAAGCTTCGACAAGGTACGGATTTATAAATGTAAATTTTGAAAACTCAAACTTGACTTATATATTTTATTTCTGAATTTTATTTCTAAAATGTGTTTATTTTTATTAATTTAGCCAAGTTTGATAATACAGATAGTTCCAAAGATTTTAATTGTGAAAATATAATAGTTTTCACGAAACTTACAATCTCCGGCTTTAATTATTCTATGAAGAGATCATACTAACTAGGTCGGTCTAAACCTCGAGTCTTGATTTCGTCTTTTCTTGGGCGTCTGTTACCTCATTTTCTTGTATGGAGCAATGATAATGATTTGAGCAAAGTTGATATTGATTTTTAAAAGTAATAGAAATCAATTATTATCTTAGAGTTTTTAGCAACTTTATGTATCTGATTTACTATCATCAAAAACTGCAATCCACACAAAACTTAAATCCTTTAATTGATATAAATACATCTAAACAGTCTATTAAATATATCAGAAAACTTGGTTTAAAATGATTTCTCTACTTCCATCTCCTTCCTTGATATTGAAATTTATTTCTGATATAATTTATATTTATAGTTTCAGGTTCCTCAAACTCAAAGAGAATTCTCGGAAATGATGAAATAATTCACTCAGGAGGAAATTAAAAAGTGAACAAACGTCCTGCCTCGGGGGAAACCCGGGATAACTCAGGGGAAATAGAAAATCTGAGGAAACAGGAGAACCAGAGATCCAGGTGAATCAGGAGAAGTCAGAGGAACCAAGAGAACAAGGAGATCCAGGTGAAAGAGGAGAACTCATTGGAACCAGGAGAACCAGGAGATCAAGGGAACTTAGAGAACCAGGAGATACATTTGATTCAGGAGAGCCTAGAGGATCCAGAAGATCTAGATGAACCATGAGAACCAGGGGGAAATAGAAAATTAGAGGAAACAGGGAAATCAGGAGATCGTTAGAAACCAGGACAAGTAAGGAAACCAGGAGAACCTTGGTAAACTAGAAGAATCAGGCTAATCCAGGAACCAGACTCCAGGAAAATCAAGATTATCCAGGGGAACCAGAAGAAGAACCTACGGGATAAGGAGAGCCCGGGCAACCAGGAGAATCTGGGGAACGAGAAGAACCAGGATAATCAGAAGAACCAATAGAACTAGTAGAACCAAGTGAACTAGTAGAACCAAGAGAACTAGGAGAACCAAGAGAACTAGGAGAACCAAAAGGACTAGGAGAACCAAGAGAACTAGGAAAACTAGGTAAACTAGGAGAACCAAGAGAAATAGGAGAACCAAGATAACTAGGAGAACCAAGAGAACTAGGAGAACCAAGAGAACTACGAGAACCAAGAGAACGAGGAGAACCAGGAGAACCAAGAGAACGAGGAGAACCAAGAGGACTAGTATAACCACGAGAACCAGAAGAACCAAGAGAACTAGGAGAACCAGGAGAATCAGAAGAACTGGGAGAATCAGGGGAACCAGGAGAACAAAGTTAGAAGAAACATTAAAACAATGAGAACAAGGAGAACTGGTAGAACTAGGGGAACCTTGAGGACCAGGATAACCTTGAAAACCATAGTTAACCATGAACCTGAAGAACCAGCAGATCCAGGTTTAATCTCCTTAGATATTACTTACTTCGTTTGTATGTAAACATTCACAGACCAACAGACTAATTTACTTTCTCTTAGATTTCCCTTGGTGATCATAATCTGCAGGGATAAACAAAATGAAGGGATCAAGCAGTTATCTCTAAAGTTGTCACAGTGGAAATCGATATCAAACGTTGTAGATTTTACACAAAAGTTTTAATTTCTGGTACAATTTTGCAGCCTTTTACAAAGGACGCACCATCGTGTGACAGACAATACATTGCAGCTTTATATATTAGGATTTAGTTTCTCCAGGATTAAAGATAAAAGGATTTAAATATTTTTCTATTAAAGTAGAACTAGTTTACCTCATTGTTCCAATGTATCTAGTATCAAATGTCCTGTGATTGTTCTCAGTGCTGAAGAATTGAAGGATGCATGCTCTCAATATACTCTGCATTCTCTCTTCTCTTCCACAGGGTAAGCTGATTAAAGAGACAGTTTACGAAACTTTTGGTTGAATCCTTTAAATAATCATTATCCAATTTTTAATGAAATTTCGTGTTATTTCGATATTTAGATATTTTGTACTTTTAACTATAATCTAGTTTTTAGATATATCTTAAAAAACCTCTTGACATTTATAAATATATAGGTATTATCCACTTTAATTTAGAATTATGATATTGACAATACGGGTGCTGTGATTTATTTATTTATAACTTCTTAATTATTTTTTAAATAAAGGCAAAACTCTCTTTAACTAGCATCTAGCTTAGATTTAAGTATTTTGGTTTAAGTTAATGTTTAATTATTGTATTTTAAATTTTTTTACTCATGATCCGTTGTTAAAAAATATATTTTGGATACATTTTACAAAATTGGAAGTTTAAAAAAAAAGCTTGAATAAATTTTTAAAACATCTACTAAGAACTTTTTAAATTAAATTTTTGATATTTTTAGATCTTTAAACAAAAATGTCATTTTTTTAATATAAATGTGTCTGAGATAATTTCCATTTTAGTGACAACAAATTGTGTTCGTTCATTTTATAATTTAAGCCTTTCTTTGGTCAGGATGGGGCGAGGAACTGGAGCACAGTGTGAATGAGAACCCTGAGAAACGACTTCCAAATATATTCGAGATAATTCTGAACCTGCCTCCAGGGATTAGAGGAGAACCTTCCCTCTCTACACACAGGTTCGGAGAATACCTCAAAGAATATAAATGTACAAATCCTAAACGGAACATTCAAACTTTGTAAAGTTCATTTTCGTTTTCATTTTCAAGATTTCTTAGTTTTCTCTGAACCTGATAAAGGTTGGTTCCGAGGTATCAGTTTACTCCTCGGAGAAGGATGAAGGAGAGACCAAGAATGATTTTGAAACCTTTACATGGACTAAATAAGAAAACAACAGGTTCGGGGTCGTTGAACTACCTGCTGCTGGCTCAAATCTTAAGTCACCGATTAAATTGTCAAGAATATTTAACTTTGAATCGGTTATTCAAATTTGAACCGGTAGAAGGTAGTTCAGCGACCTAGTTTAAATTAATTAAATTCGGTACCTAATCTCAAATATTTCTTATAAATAGAATTTTAATTACTACCCAAAACTAGATAGCTGCGAACGATTTTAACTTTTAGGAGTTTCCCCATTTATTTTGATTTAATAATGTGGCAAACAAAACGCAAACTTCAGAGAGAATAAAAAATGAGGTTTCTCCTGCTCAACATAGAACGTAATTTAAGCGTAGAAGGAACGTCTATAGATCAATGTTAACGATCAAGTGCTGTACATTTTTTCAAAGATCAAAGACGACATTCAAGTCGTCTTTCTACTGTCATGTTATGTGGAACACCCTGTAGATCAAGGTACAGATCTACCTGACAAGCCACTATTGATTTATAGAACGGAAAAAAAAATTAAAATTGTATATAAATATCACTTGTACTGAGTTTAATTTCCGATCGTAGGATTCCTGAGGCCGAATTTAAAGAATTTGAGCCGTGGCTTAAATTTGAGGCGCGGCTCAAATATGGTTGGTTCCACTTAAATTTCTATTGAATGTTCAAGATTTAAGCCAGCGCTAAATTGAAAATGGTTTTTGGCTGATTTGTGACGCGGCTCAAATTTATTAAATTTGGACTTTGGTTCTCATAGATATTTCTATATTTGTGATGATTTGTGTAGATTACAGGTCGTCTTTGCTATATTCAGCTTGTTTTTCTTATAAAAAACAATGTTACCTTTTATCACGTTTTTTTAAAATCATTTTCTGCCAAGAATTTTTTATTGTCTTCATCTTCTTGCCCTTCATTTCAAATTCTTCCGTCCTCCTCTTTCCAATTCCCTTTGTTTTTCTTCTCCTATTTCGTCTCTGCGCCCTTCCTTCATCTTCCCATTCCATCAAGTCAAATAACGTTCTATCTCCTACTTTTTTCTCCTTCCCCTTTTTCTCCTATCCCAGCCCATTTAAGAGGGAACTTGAGTACATCACTTCGTCGGCAATCTTTCACATTGACGGCTAAACCTTAGACGCAGGATACATTTATGATGGGAGGACAACCACAACAATTTCTCACACGAACCACATTCTCCTCATTGTCTCGTTCGAGGCACCTCATCCTTCCCAAATTATTTGACGAAAAAATGTGGGAAATGTGGGTCGGACGAGAAATTGGGGTGGCTGGCCTTCCTCCCTTCCCTCAATGGTGCCAGGAATTTCCCCGATTTAAGGAGTTAAGCCTCAACCCAACTGAACAGATTATCTACTGGATATCGAGTTCCATCGCAGAAACTAAGCGATATCCCTATCAAAAGTTATACCCTCGACCCCCCCCCCCTGCCGATCATCCTAAACATATATTTTATGATTATGAATTTAGATCTGATGAACGGGAATATCTGGCATACCTCATATGGGTAAAAATATTATTAGACATAACAAATAATATATTTATTATGATTATATAGAAAGTCCCAATAAACATTAGTTTGCTAATGGTTAGAAAATTAGCAATGATTGATAGTTCATCCCAAAAGGAAATTACTGATGAGCTTTACGATCTTTAGTCCACTTTTTCTTTCTGGAGTAGGACAGGAGATAACCAGACTTTCTGGAGTAGGACAGGAGATAACCAGACTTTCTGGAGTAGGACAGGAGATAACCAGACTTTCTGGAGTAGGACAGGAGATAAACAGACTTTCTGGAGTAGGACAGGAGATAACCAGACTTTCAAACAATATGATTCTGATTGGTTGCTTGGTTTCTACAATTAACAATCTGATTCTGATTGGTTGCAGTTTAGACAATTCTTCTCTTTAACGAATTAAAGGACAAAATATCAATCAAATAATATTATATTGAAGTTTATGCATAGACCTCTGACCCTACTATGATACCAACCCTATGACTATTCTATATACTATTTTTCATATTATCATTATTATTTCATATTTTCATATATATTTCAAACAACTATGATTAAATCCAAAAATGTTTTTTATCTTTAATAATTTTCGTTTTTTAGAAACAAAAACAAGAGAAATAGAGAAAAATTTGAAATCAAAAATAAAATGCTTGAAAATCTTGTTTCTTTGCAAAAAGCAAAAGATGACTTAAAAGCAGAAGATATTTATCCAAGCTTAAAGAAAGCGAGTCCCAAAGTTCTTTTTGTTCCAGTAGAAGAAACTAAAACTAATTTGGAAATAGAAAACCCTGGCTCTAGCTCTGAGACTGAAAATCCTGGCTCTAGTTCTGAGACTGAAAACCCTGACTCTAGTTCTGAGACTGAAAATCCTGTCTCTAGTTCTGAAACTGAAAACCCTGACTCTAGTTCTGAGACTGAAAATCCTGACTCTAGTTCTGAAACTGAAAAGTATGAACAGGACACAAAGTCTGAAGAAACAGATTCCGATACAATCGCCGGTAAAACTGATACAGATAAAAACCCTAAAACTGGAAAATATAAGACAATTTCTGAGGATGAAGAAGACCCAGATACTAACTCTGAGAAGGATGAGCCTGAAAACACAACATTGGAAAAAGAAGACACTAGCAGTGGTTTGGTAACAAATGAAGAAACTAGCATGAAAACAGAAAAAGAAGATTCAACCGTAGTAAATTTATCCACAGAAACAGAAACAGATAACTCCACAATAAACTCTGAAACAGAATCTTCCTTTAGTCCTCTTAATACAGAGAAACCTTCCACTCCTCTTAATACAGAGAGTCCTTCCACTCCTCTCAATACAGAGAGTCCTTCCACTACTTCGGAAGGAGAGAAAAACAAGACCAATTCTAAAACTCATGAACCAAAAACTAGTGTTCAAACATTAACAACAACAACAGTCAGAAACTTTACTGAAAAAGTAGCCTTGTCTAGTAATACAGTTGATAACAATACTGAAAACAATAGTATTCCAGTAACATCTAAACCTTCTACAATAGGGTCTGATTATACTGATACAGATGTTGCAGCAAAAATAAAATCAGAAATACCAGAAACTGAAATAGAAAACAGCACAACAGAGAATCCAGAACGCAGAGAAACAGAACCTTGGTCTGACAAACCAGAGCTTAAAAACCCAGCAACCACGACAAAACCTGGAACTGTTGAAAACAAATTATCTCCTTTTACTTTTGAACAAACGTCACCAATTGATACAACAAAAGAGATATTAAGTACTTTTGATACTTTGGAGCTTAAGTCTACTACAAATATACAAGTTTCTGAACCTGAATCAACCACAGCAAAATCAATTGATGGTTCAGATATGAAGGGACAGGACTATGGTACTACTCCCAACGAAATAAATTTTAGATCTGACAATGATATAGATGATGAGTTATTTGATTCAGACTCTGATTATGATATAAAAAATACAGAAGATGCAAATTATTATGATTATGCAGAGCACACAATCAGTACTGATGAAACAGAGAATCCTCCAACAAGGGGTGCAAGTGCAGAAAACAAAATATCAGAGAAAAGTATCTTAGAAAATAGTACTGAAATCAGTAGAGATGAAACTAGTTCAACACTGGAAGCAGAACCAACATCATTGGAAACTAAAACAGAAAATTTAATACCAAATGATGGTTTTTACAATGACCCATATAATTCAGGATACGATGAGCATTATGCTACCACTGTTGGTAGCATGGAATCTATAACAAATCATATTACCAAAGATAAAAAGAAATTTGAAACTACCACTGTTGAAGAGAAATCTGAAATTACGTCAGAACTTAAGGGCTCTGTAGCTACAACCCAAGCAACAACAACTGAAATATTTAATCGTATTGATCTTAATGAAGAGGATTTATATTATATGGATCAGTACGGTGGTCCACCTGACAAAACTGATACTACCACAGATAAAGAGAAATCTGAAATTACCACAGAAAAAGAGGAATCTGAAACTACCATTGAGATGAAGGAATTGGAAACTGCCACAGGTATGTTAGAATCTGAAACTAACACAGTCATAAAGGAATCTAAAACTACCACAGTGAAGGAATTTGAAACTTCCACAGAAGTGAAGGAATCTGAAACTACCACAGAAATTAAGGAATCTGAAACTACTACAGATATGAAGGAATCTACTGAAACTGAAACTACCACAGAGAAAAAAGAATCTAAAGATATAACGATCATTGATGATGAGACAACAGAAAACAATGAATTTAATTTTACAACTGTGAATTCTACAGGTTCCATAGCTAACACTACAAATTCAAAAGATTACATTACTACTAAAACAGGAAACGAACTCACAGATTTGAATAAATATTTAAATAACGTTTTTTATTCTACCACGACCAATTTAATTGATTCTGATAATAACATAGTAAACCAGACTTCTGAAGAGGTTGAAGCTCCAATGACTACTTTTTATGAACCTGATGGTACAAATTCTTCTATGACTATCACAACTACTACAGTAACTATGAATTCTACTTTCTTCACACCAAACCTAACTAAGAACAACACTACCACAATAAAAGAAGGATCTACAACAGTTATATTGAAATCTGAAACAACAACAATGAAAGAATCTGAAACTCCAACATATAAAGAGGAATCCACCACAGTTAAAGAGGATTTTGAAACTACAGCACAAATGAAAGGGTCTAACTCTACCACAATAAATGTAATGGAATCTGAAACTACTTTAGATAGAGAAGAATCAAAAACTAACACAATTACAGAGGATTCAGTAAGTACCTCAGAAATAAATGACTCTGTAACAACAACACAAGCATTAACAACTAAACAATTTAAACCTTTTGATCTTGATGATAATGATTTATATTATATGGATCAGTACAATGCTCCACCTGACAAAACTGATAAAATAACAGATCAAGATAACACCGAAATTACCACCATTGAAACTACCACTGAAAAGCAGGAATCTGAAACTACCACAGATATGATGGAATCTGAAACTACAACAGAAAGGAATGAACCTGAAACTACAACAGAAATAAGGAAATCTGAAACTACCAAAAAAATGAAGGAATTTGAAACAACAACAGAAATGAGGGAATCTGAAACTACCACAAAAATGAAGGAATCTGAAACTACCACAGAAATGAAGGAATCTGAAACTACCACAGAAATGATGAAATCTATAACTACCACAGTAGTGCAGGAGTCTGAAACTACAAAGGAAATGAAGGAATCTGAAACTACCACAGGTATGAAGGAATTTGAAACTACCACAGAAATGAAGGAATCTGAAACTATCACAGAAATGAAGAAATCTGAAACTTCCACCAAATTGAAGGAATCTGAAACTACAACTGAAATTAAGGAATCTGAAACTACCACAGAAATGAATGAACCTGAAACTACCACTAAAATAAAGGCATCTGAAACTAACACAGAAATGAAGACATCTGAAACTACCACAGAAATGAATGAACCTGAAACTACAACTAAAATAAAGGCATCTGAAACTACCACAGAAATGAAGGAATCTGAAATTACACCAGAAATAAAGAAATCTGAAACTATCACAGAAATGAAAGAATCTGAAACTACAACAGAAATAAAGAAATCTGAAGCTACCACAGAAATGAAGGAATTGAAAACTGCCCCAGGTGATAGACAGGATTCTACAGCTGGTGATCGATTTTATGAAGATGCGGAAGAAATCCCAGTAATCTTTGAAAACTCTTATCCTTTCCTTAACAGCGATATAGCTGACAACAAGGAAAAAGAAGATGAACAAACTGAATCCTCGGAAACTGAACCAAGCATAATAAAAGCATCTACTGAACTCCCTGAAATTTCAGAACCAACTAGATCATGGGTTCCAGGGTTGGCAAACACAGCTTATGGAAAAATAAATCCTTATATCCCTCAGAAATATGATAATGATCTTGGTCGGAAAGGGGAACCTTTTACAATATTTTTTAAAATCGGAAATTCGTCCAGTTTTGATGATAGTCCAGAAAAAAATCCCTATCAGACTTTTAAACCTGATACTGGCTCGCCTGAACCTGTTCTTAATCCTATCTCTACACTGAACTATCAATTCAGAAATTTAGAAGAGTTGGATTCTACAGCTCCAGATCAAACTAAACCTTCAGATCTGAGCACAACACCAGCAGGTCTGGATTACATCATTAAAGTAACATCTCTGAGTAAAAATGAATCCGAAAACCCTGACAGAAAATCCCCGGGAACTGATGGACCGGAGTATGTACTGCTGGAAAATGTTCGTCCAATATTCCAAAAAAATGAAACAGCTAAAGCAGAACTTCCACAGCAAGACTATGTGAACTCGGAGAAAAAAGTGCTGGAATTTATTGACCCAGATATTGACATTTCAAGCCAGGAGGACATGAACTCTGGAGCTTCAAGCCCAGAGATAAAAATCCCGGAAAGATGGAGTCCAATGATTCTGAACCACAGAGTTAATCCTCCGAATAATCTGAACGGGATTAAGGATGCAATTGAAAACGTCCTATCTAACACTGACGGGAATCCCGAGGATCTTAGCTCCGATTTAGACAAACAACTAGCAGCAGTATATCCTGAAAATAATGAACTGGCAAAAGTTCTTAATCCAGAGATCCTGGAAGCCATGAAGGATGAAGATGAAGATAAACCTAGCGAATCAAGGAAAAGAATTACCAATATAAGTATACTGTTTATCCTTTGCTAAAGAAAATCTTGTTCTTTACAAAAATTATTTTAAAGATTTAAAAAATATTTTGTTAATGTGATTCTAAAAGTGAAGATGCGAATATCCTGGCCAGGGAGGCAGGAACAGAAACTCAAGGAATCATTTTTGTTTTTTTTTAACATATTTCCTGCGGATTTATAGTTTTTATAATCAAACTTTGTGTGGCTTAGTTAGAACTTTGTTCTTGCAAACTTTTCTTGATTCTTTATAAACAATACAATTGCGTTGTGCATTATTTGGAGAAAGAAGAGAAAATGGTTAATGAAAGATAAATTGTTATTTTCCTGACTAAAAACTCAATTTCTGTGTAAAAGTAAAGCACAACGCAATAGTATTGGTAATATTTATATTTAGTCGGAAATTAGATTCCATAATGTTGAGAAGTTAAAATCTCATTGGCCAAAATGTCCCTAAATTTAAGTTAGAATTGTTTTAAAACCAATTCTTCAAGTTTACTCTGAAAAAAAACACGTTTGATGATCTCTCAGGAGTGGATGGGACGGAGAACAAGGACAGGATTGGTCAAGATCAGGGTCTGTTGAGAATGTTAGATCCAGAGTCTAAAACAGGGTCGAATCCAACAACCATTGACGGGTAAGAATGACCAATTGACAGTTCTGTCTCTGGTACAGTTTCAGGGCTATGCACAAAGAATGATACTTTAATGACAACCTACAACTCGATGAATATAATGATCTAAAAAGTAAATTTGGGTTGTTGTCTTTTATTGGTATATCAAACAATTTTGCAAAGAGAGAAACCCTGTAAAATGGTTCAGTTTTCCATGTTCTGAAAATCTGAAGAAAAAAAAAACCTAATTTGTCCTGTTATTGGTGACTTTCAAAAATGTTGACAATATTATTATCCTAGATGCAAGAAGTATAAAACTCATCCTGGCAGGAAGCGAGAAGGACTCAGGAACCATGTTACAGGAACTAAATCTGTAAAAATTATTTAAGAAAAGGAAACGGAATAAGAAACAATTGCGGGTTTTCTAAATCACGGCTTTCTATAGCTCTTACAGTCGAGAACTTTCTGGCGACAAAAAAAGCTTGAGAAACTAAACAAAACAACATTTTCGTCTGTAAAACCTGCACTTTGTATTCAAATAGTTTCATGTTTTCAATAAAAGTGGTAAGCTATCAATACAAGAAGACGACTTTTTTATTTAAGCTTTGATTGTTAACAAGCTTTTCTCGAATTACAAGTTTACAAATAATCAAAGAGAAGCTTTTCTTATTGACAGTTTCTCTTGACTACCACCAATAAAACACTCAAAACAACTTTACAACTCAGTTTTATTTTTTAATAATTTAAATCTTTTTGTTTGTTTTTTTGCATCAAAAATATCTTGAACAATTTGAAAGGAACTTGGTCAACTGCAGTTACCTGTCATCAAAATTTTGTATATGAATGCATCGAATTAAATTTGATAATAATAGGTTATAATATCTGAATGGTTAGTTTTAAATTTAATTGAATTATTTACGATCTGAGTGAAATATTGCAACTCCGTAAATTTGTTTGGAAGCTCTTCGGTATGAGTTGTGTTTAACCATTTTCTCCTTACAGACGCAACAGATAGAAGTAAGATTAATAGCGACCGATGTTAGCCTATACCCCCTTTTAATTTTTCGCGAACATTCCCTTCAAGTCAGCCCATCGTATATCCTTCAAATTCTTTAAAATGATAAAAATTAAAAGTCCTTGAACCATGGTTAAATACTAGGTTACTTGGAGTTAAAGGGTCCTATTCCATTAAGATTTCTAAGGTAATTTCTATTTACTTGATGATACATATTTTTAATCAATGATTTAAAAAAAAAAGTTTTTCATAAAGGATAAATACAAACATGTAAAAAATTTATATATAATATAATGTACATAATTTAAGGTTGAAGATTGTAAGAAGCATATAGAAGATATGTGGAGGTGAGAACCTTTTCTGAAATATTAAATATTAAACTAATTCATAAAAATATTTAAATAACTGGCACGTTATTAAAGATTTTAAATTGATTTCTGAAATGAATGGTTGGAAACTTTAGGTTGCAAAGATATATGGATTTTAAACATTAGAGTTTAATGCGAGTAATCGGTTTGTTTTAGAGCTGGCGAATGGTTAAATGATCCTGATTGTGGATTAGCCCTGGTTGGGATTAGTAAATGCACCAACCCTGCATGCTGCATGTGTACTGTCACGAAGGTAAGCCCTGCATGCTGCATGTGTAACATCATGAAGGTAAGCCCTGCATGCTGCATGTGTACCATCATGAAGGTAAGCCCTGCATGCTGCATGTGTACCATCATGAAGGTAAGCCCTGCATGCTGCATGTGTACCCTCAAAAAGGAAAGCCCTGCATGCTGCATGTGTACCCTCAAAAAGGAAAGCCCTGCATGCTGCATGTGTACTGTCACGAAAGTAAGCCCTGCATGCTATATGTGTACCGTCATGAAGGTAAGCCCTGCATGCTGCATGTGTACCGTCACGAAAGTAAGCCCTGCATGCTGCATGTGTACCGTCACGAAAGTAAGCCCTGTGTGCTGTATATGTACCGTCATGATGGTAAAAGCCCTGCATGCTGTATGTGTACCGTCGCGAAGGTAAACACTGCATGGTGTATGTGTACCGTCATGAAGGTAAGCCCTGCATGGTGTATGTGTACCGTCATGATGGTAAGCCCTGCAAGTTGTATCTTACACAGTGATCTTACATCTTTTTACTTCTAGAATTTTATTCGTCTAGTTTTAATAATTTTGACTATTTTTATTTCCCCCCTGGAGTAGAATGAGTCCTGTGCTGCGACGAGGTTGGATGAGAAGATTACTCCGGCAGAGCAACAATTCCTCAAACTATTCTCAAACAATCTATCCAATAGGAATCAGTAAAAATATTTTATTTTCATTTTAAAACTCTCGTCTTCCCCTCCCCCCGCAGTGCTAAAACTATCTATTTAGGGTCGACAAGAAAATGTAAATTTTCTGAATATAAAAAAAATGCTGACATTTTACTCAAAAAAGGCAAAAAAAAACATTTCCTTCTCCAGAAATGATCAACTTATAATGAATAATAATAAAATAACTGATACCTTAATAGTATACCTCTTGATACCCCAGGACACTGTAATAATCTTAAGGAGAAACTAAAAGGTAAATAAAATGAATGGACGTAAGATTGACTTAAAGGGATATAAGAATAAGATAGGTTGTCTTAAAGGGATATAAGAATAAGATAGGTTGACTTAAAGGGATATAAGAATAAGATTGATTGACTTAAAGGGAAATAAGATAGGTTGACTTGAAGGGGTATAAGAATAAGATTGGTTGACTTACAGGGATATAAGAATAAAATAGGTTAACTTGAAGGTATATAAGATAGGTTGATACAAAGGGATATAAGATAAGTTGACTTAAAGGGATATAAGATAGGTTGACTTGAAGGGACATAAGAATGAGATTGGTTGACTTAAAGGGATATAAGATAGGTTGACTTAAAGGGATATAAGATAGGTTGACTTAAAGGGATATAAGACTAAGATTGGTTGACTTAAAGGTATATAAGATAGGTTTTGGATATACGATAGGTTGACTTAAAGGGATATAAAATTGTTTGACTTAAATGGATATAAGATAGGTTGACTTAAAGGGATATAAGATAGGTTGACTTACAGGGATACAAGATAGGTTGACTCAAAGGGATATAAGATAGATTGACTCAAAGGGAAATAAGATATGTTGACTGAAAAAGAAATAGGTTGACAATTAAAGAGCCGATTTACAAGATTTTGTTTCTCTGGTAAAGGGAAATAATTCGATCCACAAAAGTCCTTTTTTTTCTATTCTATCAAAGAGAAATTTTTTATATATTAATTTGTTGTTGTGTAATCGTATTCATTTTTAAAAAGATTTTCGTTTTTTCGAGATCCAATCACAATAATCATTTATTTCCCTAGGAAGTTTCAGGGATGAATTCCAACGACGACGGAGTAGCTTGAAGTGCACGGATAAAAGAGGTCCAGGGAGAAGATCCAACCCGGATCCGGATCAGAAAATAGAAATATTCTTCCTTGCTAAATTTATCAACACCAAGAAAATTTGCACAATTACAGTCAAGGTACAAATAGAGAGTAACGTATTCTATCATTGGCATAATTTTGTTAATCCTGCAGCAAATTAACCAACAAATCGTGGATTGAATGTCGTCGTTTATTTTAATTAGAAATGAAGCTAACGATTTTACATGTGTAACTATTTCACTGATGCCAAAATACAAAGACGACAATCAACCACGCTTTGTACAGTTTTTTACTATAAATAGATAGGCTTGTTTAATGCAGTACAATGCAGGTTACAAAGATAGATCGGCTTGTTTAATGCAGTACAATGCAGGTTACAAAGATAGATAGGCTTGTTTAATGCAGTACAATGCAGGTTACAAAGATAGATCGGCTTGTTTAATGCAGTACAATGCAGGTTACAAAGATAAGAATGAAATTAAAGACGCCGCTGCTCGCACCACGTCTTTTACTAGGATATACAAGTTTACATGCATTCAAAGCAAGAAACTATCAATACATTATCTTCCAACTATGGTAGAAAATCTTTACTCTTAAAAAATCATTCAAAAATGATTTTTTAACAAAGAGAAGCTGACGCTTTATTAAAGATAAAACTCCTTCCCAAAGTTGTTTAGATTAGAGGTTTAAAGGGTTCACTTTCTGTGATTTATTTAAAGGTTGCAAGCTCTCAAGCTAAAATCAATAAGAATTTTCGCAATTACTTCTTAAAAATCAAAACTAAGAACAAGTTATTTATAGTGCTAAAATATACATGTAAAGGGCTACAAAAAAGCATAAGTGAGTTAGAGTGGTACAATCAAAACCTAATGCGTTGCGACCCTTCCAAGTCTCGACCCTGTCTTAAAAATTGATGAGACTTTTTATAAACAGGCTGAATCCATAGATAAATAAATACACATAGATAGCTTATGTACGCAAAATCACCAAGAAATGTACATTTATATCTTTCAAGATGAAAAATATCTTTATCTATGGCTGAATCTATGTGCACTGCAAATGGATCGTTGATAGCAATCTTCATTTAAAAGCTCACGTATACAATTAAGTAAAAACTCCCTTTAAGAAATTTATTTTTTAGATAATTCGAGGATCTGAAGAATGTGAGTTTGGTGAATAAATGATTATCGTGAAACCTGGAATTGAGCAAATTTACAAATTTACACAAATTCAAGATCTGTTCAACTTTTTTAGATTAAGTTGAAAATATAAGAATATTTATATTTATTCATTGTCGATCGTAGAAACCTTTAAATTTAAAAAATGTCCACCAGCTGGTGAACCAAAAAAGTGACGACATTGAAATAGTGTTCACTTTTCAAATATTTTGTATTTAGAAATTCTTAAAAACAAATTAAAGACTTATTGACGTTATTTTCAGAAATTCTCAAAATTTGAAAATTACATTTTTCAAAATATTTAATGCACCGTAATTTATCCAAAGTATAAATTCAGACCCAAAAAGCCTCACCTCTTTAATTACCCCCTATTTCGCATCTTTACCAACCTAAAGGATGTTAAAACAAAAACAAACAAAAAAACTTCACTCTCATTTCTCTAAGAGGCTTAATTATTACCCAATCATAATGATGTTATTTTCACAATGTCGTTAGGATGTTAGGACTACGTAAAAATGTCGGATTTGGTCGAACCTGCTATGAACAATATATTCAATCTTTTTTTTATAAGTTAGAACAATCTAATCAATGTGTACGCAATGGAAGACGACATTTCAGATTATTGCAGATTTGAAACAGAAAATCCCTAGGTTGAAGATCTCACACACAAGTCGATGAGGATTTTGCCAATTACTTCTCAAAAGCTAAAACCTAGTTCTCTAGAGTTTTATAATGTATATGTCTAGAGCTACAAAATCATAAGTGAGTTTGAGGTAAAATTAAAGACAAAGGCGTTAAGACACTTCAAAGTCGACCCAGCCTTGAAATTTGATGCAATCATAGCAGTCGGGATCTATTTTCTGTAGCTCGGTGAAAATGACTACAGACAATATATATAATATACGTCCATGACCCTAATACATCCAGTTGAAAGATACTATAGTACTTTAAGACTTTACATACAGATGAATTAGTTGTCTAATAAACATGAAACACAGCAATTGTGTAGTGTGCAGTGTACGTAAAGACCCATTTTTAAGTGATTATTGGAGTTTTTTTGAGCAACAAAAACTTTTAGCCCGGTATAGGCATTTAGCATTTTTTTATTCAAACAAAAATAGCAACGAACAGCCAGGTCAAAGTAAACCTTGAAAGCAAAAAAGATTTAAATTTTTCTATAGCCTCTTCAAATCTGAATCCCTTCAATCCCCAAGACTAGTTTAAACAAAAAATTCCGGACAGAATTCCTATTTTGTACGTCCTTTGAACAGGGATTTCTTTTGAAAAGCAACAATAATAAAATATTTTAATCATGAATACTGCTCATGATCCTGTAAGATAGACTTGTTGTTAGCTTTGCTTAAAAAATAATTGATTTGTTAGAAATTTAGAACTTTACAAGAAATGTTATGAATGCCTGAAAATATTTCCCTACTGTCAACATATTTGTCAGTTGAAAATACAAAGGGAAATTTTCGGAACCCCCTAATCCATCGGGAACTGTTGTTATGAACCACCCTAATCCATCGGGAACTGTTGTTATGAACCACCCGAATCCATCGGGAACTGTTGTTATGAACCACCCTAATCCATCGGGAACTGTTGTTATGAACCTCCCTAATCCATCGGGACTGATGTTATGAACCACCCTAATTAAGCGTGAACTGTTGTTATGAACCACCCTAATCCATCGGGAACTATTGTTATGAACCACCCTAATCCATCGGGAACTGTTGTTATGAACCACCCTAATCAAGCGTGAACTGTTGTTATGAACCACCCTAATCAAGCGTGAACTGTTGTTATGAACCACCCTAATCCATCGGGAACTGTTGTTATGAACCTCCCTAATCCATCGGGAACTGTTGTTATGAACCACCATAATCCATCGGGAACTGTTGTTATGAACCACCCTAATCCATGGAACTGTTGTTATGAACCGAACCACCCTAATCCATCGGGAACTGTTGTTATGAACCACCATAATCCATCGGGAACTGTTGTTATGAACCACCCTAATCCATGGAACTGTTGTTATGAACCACCCTTATCCATGGAACTGTTGTTATGAACCACCCTAATCCATGGAACTGTTGTTATGAACTACCCTAATCCATCGGGAACTGTTGTTATTAACCACCCTAATCCATCGGGAACTGTTGTTATGAACCACCATAATCCATCGGAAACTGTTGTTATGAACCACCCTAATCCATCGGGAACTGTTGTTATGAACCACCCTAATCCATCGGGAATTGTTACGAACTACCCTTATTCATCGTGATAGATTATAAACCACCCTTATCCGTCGGGAATTGTTGTGAATTACCTTTATCTATTGGGAACTGTTATAAACTACCCTAACCCATCATAGACTAAACCACTCAAATCCTAACTTGCTTCTAACTGTTCTGAACCATCCAAATTCATCTCTTACTATTCTGAACCATCCTAATCCATCTCTTACTATTCTGAACCATCCTAATCCATCTCTTACTATTCTGAACCATCCTAATCCATTTCTTACTATTCTGAACCATCCTAATCCATCTCTTACTATTCTGAACCATCCAAATCCATCTCTTACTATTCTGAACCATCCTAATTCATCTCTTACTATTCTGAACCATCCTAATCCATCTCTTACTATTCTGAACCATCCTAATCCATCGAAAACTACTACATTCCGAACTTTCTTACTGAGAGCTAGGCCGCCCCCCCCCCCTTGTGATTCTATTTAGTTTGAATCATGTTTGATTTATATACCTATTGTGAATAATGATTAAACAATGAGTGAATACATGAGGTTCATGAGTCCAGCTTTCCACTGTGAGGTCAGGGCGTCGGTCAACTCCTACCTTCTCACACAATAGAGTAGTCTTTACCCATTAATAGATATATACAGATATACAGATATACAGTGAAGCATAGGTTTAATTAATGAAAATCATCTCATCCTTCCTTGTTCGATGAATATCAGTTTTTTAACGATTGAAAAAAATAATTGATATTGATTTTCATTTAAAATTTTATGTCATGTGTCACCGCACCTTGCCTTATTAATTGTTTTCTTAAGTTAAAATTAATCAATTGTTCATTTAAAACAATAACACGACAATATTTTGCTAAAAAATCTGAATAAATCATAAAAAAGTCAGGAAAATTCAAAATACTTTAATTTTTTTAAAATCCTGATCTTATCTTTGGCCAAATCGGTTCAGCCGTTTTAACGTTAAATGAACCAAGGGCACGTCACAACTCTCAATTTTTTAAAGTTAATCGTTACAAAATATCATTTATACGCTGGTAATACACAAAACAAACCCCTTTCTTCCAGTATAAGAATTGTTGAGCAGGGGTAAATTGTATAATTAATTAAGGTCTACAAGTATCTGTTTCTATTTTCAAGTTTACACTTCATTTAACATTTACCCAGTCTTCACAGCTATAGATTACGGAGGGACAGAGTACCTGACTTCCCTGACTACTAGGAATACCGGAAAAAGCTTAAATTTTTTTAAACTTAATCCAAGTAAATGCTTTTAAACTTTAGATTGTCAACTTTTACAATATATAGTCAAAATCTGGAATTCACAAACTGAAACATGCCAAAATTTTTAACAGTGATACATTGTACCTTATTTAATACTATTTTTGAATAACATATACCTATTCAAACTTGAATTAAGAGGGTAATGTTTAAGTTTATGTTATTATGTCTCCAATTTAAGGGTATTAGGAGAATTACAGATTATTTCATGATGACAAAAATACTTATATTTATATTTCATTAAAGTTTTGTACAAATTTTCCACTGAGATAACTTGTTAAACAGATAAAAAAAAATTACAAATACTAAGAAGAAGATTTTTCTTTAAATTCTAAAAATTAAATGTCCTACAGCATAAACCTGCAGCTTTCCTTTAAAGATTGTATGAAGAAGAATAGAAGAAAGATTCCGCGTGTGTTTATATATATATTGAGGAAATGTCAGTTTATTTCCTGTTTCCTATTAAACCCCGTATTAAGAGACACGAATAGGTTTAATCTTTAAGCCCGCCTGTGTCACGTGTTAGTACCCGGAGTGTGCCGGGAATCCAGGAATTCTATAAATGTCTCCGGGTTCGCAATTAAACTCTAATATCAACAACTACAATTCTCCTTTTCCTAATTATTCTCAAGTTATGCTCTAAAAATATATAGTTTACAGAATAATGTCGCGACCCAGTAGGTTTATGCGCTCCATGACCCCGAGTGGATCTGTCAAGATGTCCGCCTCCAGGTTCAACTTGGTTTGCGGCAAAACCCGCGAGATGGCGTGTTTGCCGAACATTGATCGGATACCGAACCCACAACCGCCAAAAGTAATCGATGCAAGGGTTACTACACCTACTATGGGTAGGAAGGAGTACGGATACAGGAGGGATAGGTCTGTGAGCAGGGAGGTTCGGGCACCTGCTCCTCCTGCCAGAGAATCCTCTCTCTACCTTCCTTTTGGATCCTACGCTGATCTAGGATGTCATACTAAACCTCCATCTAGGTATACGATTATATACAAAACTCTAAACAGGACTAATTGTAGGCTTAGTGTCGTACTGCATGAAATAGTAAAATTATAATACAGAATACTCACTTTTTATTATTAAAATCCAATTAGACCGTACATACCATAATGGACAGTATTCTAAACATGAACGGATTACGTTAAAGGAATGATAGCAAAACATGAAAACTTTTTGCTGCAGTGTTATACATTCACTGCATGTAATAATAGTTTGATCCTTATTTGTATAGAAGGTCAGAGATGAGAAGGATTAACTGTATTCTGTTAACCCTATCCTAGTCCATGGGAATGTGTTCCGAGAATACATTCTAAATGATTTGCAGATCAAACGAAAAAATAAACCTAAACATTTGTATTACGATCAAAAATGTTTTGTTTTCTCCCATTTGATTTATAGAAGATGGAAGAGCGTAACTCTAGGGTTACGAGGTTACGTGGTAGCATATTAGTTCAGCTCTCAAGAAGGTCTAAGCAATTTGTTTTGAGTTAACGTAGGTTAGAGAGATAGATGCACAGTGCACACTGATACATTGATACTGTATTCTTTTTAAACTCCGTCTTTTAGACTTTTCAGAGAAAGTTTGGGATTAGATCAAATCGTTCAAAAATTTTCAGAAGTCCTTTCGTTCAGGGCAAAGAACTGAACTTTTACGAAAGATACTTTAAAAATCGTTAACGGCACCAGTGGTATTTAAAAACAAATCCACTTGGACATCTTTTTCCTGAAGATTTCAAAATTAACGGTTTTTGCCGTTTATTAACGGAATCCTCCGTTAATTGTCAAAAACGGTATTTTAGTTTTAACAGTTAGATTTGAATTGTTCAGGTATAGCAACAGTACACAAGGTAGTTATACTAGCAGCTACTCAGCCGGGCACACTGACCGACACAGCAGAAGAAGCATGACACCTCTTTCCTTTCCTCCCTCTTATCCATCTTCTAGTATTTCGGTAGGATATACTTAAACTACCAACCTTCTCATCAACCCACCATTCTCTTCTCCACCTATCAACCTTCTCCTCAACCTACTAACATTCTCATCAACCTATCAACCTTCCCCTAAACCTACCAACCTTTTCATCAACCTATCAATCTTCCCCTAAACCTACCAACCTTTTCCTCAACCTACCAACCTTCCCCTAAACCTACCAACCTTCGCCTCAACCTACCAACCTTCTCTTCGACCTACCAACTTTCTCCTCAACCTACAAACCTTCTCCTCTACCTACCAACCTTCCCCTCAACCTACCAACCTTCTCCTCGACCTACCAACCTTCTCCTCAACCTACAAACCTTCTCCTCTACCTACCAACCTTCTCCTCAACCTACCAACCTTCTCCTCAACCTACAAACCTTCTCCTCTACCTACCAACCTTCCCCTCAACCTACCAACCTTCTCCTCGACCTACCAACCTTCTCCTCAACCTACCAACCTTCTCCTCAACCTACCAACCTTTTCTTTAACCTATAGATATCCACCTGGCAAGTCTAGAACGATATATTTTCTGTGTTCCTTGTTAGGTTAAATATATATATTCATATATTCATATATATAATTTACCTTTCAAGCATATTTGCATTGATTCGACTTTCGCCCTTTAACTTCCGGCCCAAGAGTAGAAAAATATTGTTTTTGCTTAAATATACCCTGTACACAATACAATATACAATATATACTTTGTTTTAAACTTCAAAAAATCTTTTGTTAAAAATGATTAAAACCCAAAGCTAAGGTTTAAAAGCGTTGCAGTTATGTTTAATTTTAAATATAGAAACATTTTTTACTCAACGTTATTGCTTGTTTTCCATCAAAAGAAGAGTTGTATAATCTGAGCCCGCGATTTAAAAGCTTCGGCTCGAGTCTTAATTCCTTAAACGCAGCTTTAAGACCCAATCTTAGACCCAACTCTGACGACAGCTTGTGTCACGTGATTGACAGCTGCGAGATCTTAGGCTCGACTTAAGGAGTTAGGCCCAATGAAAATAAAACCGACCTTGGTTGGTTTTAGTGAAGAATAAGGCTCAATGTTGGGTCTTATTCTCATCAAAACCCGGAATGCACCAATTCCAACTATGAAAATCCGCCAAATACAACATTAGACCGGTTTTATGAACTAAATTCTGTTGAAAAATAGATGCAACTTAAATCCGAAAGCCCGAGCCGTAAATAAGGCTCAACAACAGCTTAGACCCGAGTCGTATTTTCTTGAATTTTTTAAATCGCCGGCTCAGTAAAAATAAGACTCAACTTGTTTTACAAATACAACATAATGATGTCGTCGATAAATGCCTCACTGAACATTTAAATTCCTTTTTGTGACGTTAAGAAGTAAATAAAATGTCATTTTCGAAAATATTTTGGGTACAATTCAAAAATCCTCAGTTAAGCGACTGTACATATAGAAGTAATTTCAAGTGAACCTCCATTAGTGGAGTGGAGTGTTAGATTAACAGCGGAACCCTATCTAAATCTTTGGAAGGATTACTTAGTTATCCTTATTTTTACCGAAGAAATGCTCTTAATTGTTGAAAATCAAAAATATCCTTATTTAGTTTCTAAGATGAAGTGACGAAAAATTTATATTTTTATTCGAATTTTCAGATAAAACGTTGGACATCAATTATAACACGCATGACAAATTTAGGTTTTAGGTTTGAATAAAAATTACCCCGAAAAATTGGTTTAGAAATGGAAAATAAAGGTTTAGCTGATTTCAAAACAGGTTTCAAGCAAATCTGATGAGTAGCATTTTTTGAGATAAAAAGGGTTTGAAATTGTTAGGATGGAAACCTACAAAAAGGGGATAAACAGCTTATCTATTAGGTTTACAGCAAAATTGAAGGACGAAGACTAAAGATATATTTTTTTCAAGAAAGTTGTCCATCTATAATTAATCTATCCGGAGACCGAGTTAAAAGAATTTGAGCCGCAGCTCAAATATGGTTGGTTCCACTTAAAATTGTATTAAATTTTTCAATATCTAAGCCGGCGCTCAATTGAAACCGTTTTTTGGGGGATTTGAGACGCGGCTTAAATTCATTAAATTCGGACACGGATCATATATTCGGTGATATGTAAAATACCACGATATGAAAAACATGGTTCTAGTTTAAAATATGTGAATTCAACTGTGTTAAGTATACACTGTACACAATGTACAACACTCAAGTTGTTACACCATTTTTAACAAGCAAAACAAGAATCTCTTCCCCGTCGATGATCATTTAAAGGTTTAAACAGAACCACTGTGAATCGGACCTGCCACTCCACATATACAGGGTCACTTGAAATTACGTCTAAAGTGCCTTAAATGAGGATTTTTGAATTGTATTCAAATATTTTTAAAACACCAACTTATATAATTTGAATTGTCATGTTAAAGATGAAATTTAAATGTTTTGTGAGTTATTTTATAACTAAGTACAGTCCTATTAAGTGTAAAATAAAAGATAATTGGATGAACTCCTAATTTTAACTCTTGTCAGGCTGGCTTTGGTGGGTTGAGCAGTAGAACGGAATCCAGGACAACCCAGAGAAGATCATCCGCAACCTTCACCCAGCAATCATTCCAGGTATATAAAAGTCGTCTTCATTGTATTGATATAAACGCTGACCACTATATTTTAAAGACAATTTTTTCTAAAAGTTTGCCGTAGCTTCGCCATTTTTTTAAAGCGCCCCTTTTTGATAAATATTTAATAATGATTTTTATTTAGAGTTCCAGACAAAGACATACTTCATGTAGCTACGGCAACGAAAAAATAAACCTAAACATTTGTATTACGATCAAAAATGTTTTGTTAATTCTCCCATTTGATTAATAGAAGATGGAAGAGCGTAACTCTAGGGTTACGAGGTTACGTGGTAGCATATTAGTTCAGCTCTCAAGAAGGTCTAAGCAATTTGTTTTGAGTTAACGTAGGNCTGTCTACCTTTCTAGTAGCTGTCTACCTTTCTACGAGCTGTCTACCTTTCTACTAGCTGTCTACCTTTCTACTAGCTGTCTACCTTTCTATTAGCTGTATACCTTTCTACTAGCTGTCATCCTTTCTATAGTTACCATCGTTTGCCATGGTTTAGTCAAGATCTTACTTCTATTTGTTTTTAATTTGCTCCCGAGCCGCAACGCTCGACCCCTGAAAGGCATCACCAAATCCTAAATGATTTAAGAAACTTCTGGACAGTTCCAAAAGTGGCAAATTTACATACATTTGCAAATGTAAATATTAGGTCTTTTACAAAACTACCGTCTACATGCAGACTAAAGATAAACTTTAAACGTTTCCACTGAGACTCTAAATTGACATACAGGGTTACCCACAAATGATGAGACTTCAGAGACGACTATACGAAATTTATATTGTCTGTTTCCTTTTATTCATAATTCCCTGCAACTGTAAACTTCTTTCTTTTTCTTGCAAAATCATTTGATAAGCTATTTGAAGCCTATTTTCTGAGCAGAAGACTAAAATTAATCTTGGATCGTCAAATCTTGAAAGATTGAAGTCGTCTTCACGATCTCATCCTTTTATGGGTAACCCTGTATATTTACATTACGAATATATATCATAATTATTTCTTTAACTCCTCAACAGTGATTTTATGTACTAAGTTCTGGACACAAACTCAAATTTTCTAATTTCGGACTCTTTGCAAGAACAAAATAAGAGTTTGTAGCAAGAACTCAGTTCCTTACATTGCATGCAGTGTACAATGTACATACACTCATCCTTCCCGGTGCATATTTATTTACGTATGTAATTATAGCTAAAGATGAACCTAATTATACATATTTAATTTTTTCATATTTTATGACTAATATCTCTAATATTATCGTAACTGTTGTATAATAATTCTTTTCCGGTGTTAAATCTGAATTCAGTGATTATATCTGTCAATTCAGATTTTATATCGAACTTGACTCCGGGTGTAGAGAAGTATATGTGTGTATGGAGCCAGAAAATCTTGTTCAACCCCTGCCAAAACCCTGATGTGAAACAAATCTATTATTCTGACATTTCATTTAACAATTCACGATTGGTTTGCATATTCATTACACATTTTATTACGTATATTGCACGGGTGTGAACTGAAGGATTAGTCCAGAGCGGATAACGGATTACAGAATTAGATTTGCATGGCCGTCCATAGATGATGAATTTACTGTTTATAGGATTTCCAACGGAAGTATTTTCGTCCTTGTTCTTTTATAAAATAAGAATGCCGCTAAGGATTTTATAATTTCAAATTTATGACATTTAAAAATTCAGAATTCAATAAATTTCTAAATTGACAGAAAGACGACAATAATTACGGTTTTTAAAGATGTACGCCCGATGCTTACTGGAACAAAACTTACCATCTAAATAACAGCAACCTTTTAATGTTAATCATTTCTATCCTGTTTGTATATGTTACAGGGTGTCCCACGAAACATGACAGTTGATAAATAGTTTTGAATGTCTTCTTCCATACACTGTATTAGATATTAAAGGGTGTTTGCAGTTTATTTCGTTTAAAAAATCTTTTGCTCAAATATATTTTACTTTGAAGTTAATTTTACTATAATATGACTCCTATATGATATTTTTATTATTGTCTTTGGTATTAAAAAGCTTAACAAATTATGGAAGAAGACATTCTAAACTATTTACCAACTGTCATGTTTTGTGGGACACCTTGTAAATTGTCCATGTTTATCTCTAAAATGTTTAATTTATAATTTACTGTTGTTATCAACCTGCGGAAAATTAACAGGTTAATATATGTAAGATATTGAAAAAAGTTCTAAACTTTATTTCAGATTTTTTTAAAATTAGTTAAAAATTCACAAACTCAAATTATCTAATCTCTAAATCTTTGCAACTTGATGGTGTAAAACTTTGATATTTCAGACTTTAATTTTATGATCTGACAGAATTCACAGTTTGAAATATCTAAGGTCTACGACATTAGGTTCCAAAGATATGAATTGAAAAATCAGAGTTTGTGGCAAAAACTCAATTTCTTTTAATAAAATTCATTTAGATTAAAGCCAGAAACTCTTTTCATCTTAGATTAACTTTTTTGTTCGCACATTTAAAAAAGTTAAATGAATGAAAAAAATTTTTTAAAATTTAAAAAGAAACAACAATAGAAACTAAAAAATCGATCATGATACAAGTTCCTTGATTGCTTATATTAAAAATATGTTAATTTGTAAACAAATTTAATAAATATCTATTAATTCAATCTTATCCAGTATTTTTTTTTTCATACTTAAATTAGGAATACTTCAGTTTCCTCCGCAAAAACATCAGACCTTAGGGAAAATCCATCCACCCTCTCTACCTGACAACCTACATTGAGATTTAAGATCCATACCTATCTACCAGTCTACCTTGAGATTTAAGATCCACACACACAACCCTACCAACCTACCATGAGATATAAGATCCACACACACTACCCTACCAACCTACCTTGAGATTTAAGAACCCTTACTATGTTATACTACCTACCTTGAGATTTAAGATCCATACACCCTACGTATCTACTAACATACCTTGAGATTTAAGATCCATACACTCTACCTATCTACAAACCTACCTTGAGATTTAAGATCCATACACCCTACCTATCTACAAACCTACCTTGAGATTTAAGATCCATACACCCTACCTATCTACCAAACTACCTTGAGATTTAAGATTCATACACCCTACGTATCTACAAACCTACCTTGAGATTTAAGATCCATACACCCTACCTATCTACCAACCTACCTTGAGATTTAAGATTCATACACCCTACGTATCTACCAACAAGATCCATACACCCTACAGTCAACCTATCTACCAACCTACCATAAGGTTGAATATATACATATATCCAATAAATTCATTCTTATATATCTAAATATATCCTGAGACTAGGAATCACGATATCTCCGGAAGATATTTTCCTATCCCAGGACATCAACTCTATACAACCAAATATTAAGCATGCAAATATCCTCATCATAAACCTACAGCAACAATAAACCCTGCAATTTGTGGGCTGAACAAAATTTGCAAACATGAAGATTGAAGATTCATGTTAACACAGGTCTGCAGGGCACGGGGTGAACCTCAGGCTATTCTTATATTTACGCTCTACTATTATAATAGTTATTTTTCAACCGATGAATGGTTAACTTGAATAAATTAGGTTTGTATTATTATTATTATTTTTATCCAAACCAAAATTGTTAAATATTTACTTACGAACATACATTTTATACAGTTTACCTAACTGAGACCGAATTTCGTTAAGAAATGTCATTTATAAAGTCCTAAGATTCTCAGTTATTCTGCATTTTTTTAGGAAGAACATTTTATTTTTATAACTTTCTTTATAAATTACTTTTAAAATAATTTTAAATAAAATAGTTTTACAGGGTCAAACATAAAAGCAAATCGCAAAAATTTAACTTTTTTAAAACAAATTTTGTGAGTTGTTTTTCGGAAGATGTGAGCTCTTTGAGTTGTTTTTCGGAATATGTGAGTTCTGAGAATTATATATGGGAAAGGGGGCTCTATTATTATCAATAAAAGTTCACACACTTATCATATCATTCAAAGTTATACCTAAAATTATATATATTATAAATACTAATTCTTAAATTAATCATATATACATGAAAAGCAGTGCATGGAATATATATTTGTGTGTTTGTATGTATTTAACCCTTAGACGGCCAATGTTAAACAAACTGAAAACTCGCCACAAAATCTAATCATCTTTGCAATCCCATGTCGAATACCTTTGCCAGTTCAAAGCATTTTCTTCCATATGAAAAGTCGAAGTTTAAAATATTAAAGGTTCTCAGTGCACATAAGGTGGCAAAGATATTGAAAATTAGAATTTGTGGCTTGAACTCCTCCCCCCTCCGCCGCCCCCCTCTTGGTAACTTTTTATGTGTGGCTTATCCCTCGTATGAGCTCTATATATAAAGGAGGTCATTTTCTGTAAAGAGTTTTTGAAATACCACGGACAACGCCGGGTTCTTCAGCTAGTTTTTATTCTAAAAAGAGACATCTAAATTGTTGGTTGAGTCCAGTGATATCTTGCTGAAATCTACCAGATACTTGAATATTCCTGAGTAGAATGTGTCGGATCTTGTCCCTGCTGGGGTCGGATTGATTTTCATCCTAAATATGGATCTATCTCTAGTATATGGTTAATGTTTATGTGTAAATGACTCATAACATTTATGAGATTAAATTCTACACGTATCCCACCCTGGAAACTGAATCAAGGTTGAAAAATGTTACGGATTTAATGGTAAACAGTTTAAACCATCGGGTCTGTATCAGTAACAAATACAGTAGTAGCATGTGAGATGAGAAAGATAATTGGAACCTCTCAAAGGGGTGGGCTTAGAGCAGGGTGTTAAGAATCTATAAACAGATTTAAGAATCTCTTCATTTTTGGGAAAGCATTTGAGAAGATAGTTAAAATATAAAGTAGTGTTTAGAAATGTCTAAGATTTAGATTTCAGGGACGTTAATTTGATAAGACGTCTTTAATGTGTATTAAAATATGAAAAAGTCAGAATCTGAATAGAGTTAAGTGAGATAATTCAGGTCTTTGTATCGATTATCAAATTATAAAGATAAGCTGCACGATTCAAACCTATTTTAATATTATAAATTGAGTAGAATTGGTTCGAATCTTGACACCTTAAGCTTCTCCGAAAATATTTGAATAATGAATGTATTGAGATGTGGATCCTTTGACCGGAAGTGTTGGCGCGCGCGCTCGTCTTAGCGCGCTCGCGCAACATCTTCACTGAGCAGTCTCATCCCAAGGTTTATCCTGTGAAGTCCCCCGCCGACCCTGGATTCAAGGTATAACAAACTGTGAACATATGTGATTATAAAACCAAGCTGTAAATATCATTTATATCCACGTCGCAGGTATATACAATACATAGATATAAGGGAGAATAAGTAAATATATATGTATATTTGTTTGTCTGTCTGTTTGTATCAAATAAACGTAAAAACGGCTGAACCGATCAAATATAAAGTCCGATCAAAGTTTAGTAAGATTACAACAAGAAAAAATTAGATCTTGACACTTAAAGTAAAACTATCAATCAAATTATTTATTATCTTAAAATGTACAAATAAAATACGCCAGCAATAAATATTATTACAATTAAAATGGGCGCGAAGCGGGTGTTTAAGCCTAGTATCTTATATATACATACACTATACCTAGGTTTATATTCTTCCTCACATCTTCTCATGATGAACCCTAGATTTAATTCCAGGGTTCATTATCATAAAAATAAGTTTAACTCTGTCATGAAACTATGTGGATACAATTAGGACCAGATTTGTTAGTATTATAAGAGACTGTTCACCTATTTGAAAGCACACTTCATACCCCATGTGCATTCTTAATGGGTCACCAATCCCTTTATTCAATAAGGGGAGTGGAAAGGGTTTAAGCGAGGTAACAACATTTTCCTTATGAATTTACCATGTTTGATTTATATCTTTAAGCCGAAAATGACCAACAAAAGTGATTTAAACGCCCAAAATTTGTTTGAGTGACAATCAGATATATCCTCTTTCCTATAGTTTAAAGGAACTATAAACATTTTCGAATTCTTACATCTTTGAAACCCGATGTCGTAGACCTTAAATATTCAAAAGCATGAATTTTCTTTGATCAAATAAACCTCAGAAGTTATAAATCTTTTTTTCGAATATCTTGAGTTTATAGTAAGATAAAAAGACAGGAAGGAAGGAAGGAATAAAATGTAGCAGTGAGATTATTGTAAACTAAAAGATATCATTAAAGATGTCCTTGCATTGTTCCACCTGAGCTGAAAACTTTAGAATGGTGGATATCAGGATTACCGCTTAATCCACTCTTTTTCTTAATCTCCAGATTAAATATTGCTTGTTCTCCACTCATTTTTAATCTCCAGATTAATTATCCGATCAGGATTAAGGATATCCCATTCAAAAGTTTTCAGCTCTGATATAATAAAATGAGCGAGCAATGAGAATTATTTCACATTTATTAAATAACAGAATCTAATAAAACAATTAGATCTATTAGAGTAAGGTATGCAGGTGTACTGTGTATATTGCATAATGTATAGATTCACATTAGCAGTTATGAACAGGAGTATTGTCTAAGTCAGTATAAAAATGCAAACTCTGATAGGATAGTAAACAACAATTATTTTAGTTAAAATTTCAAAATGTCCGATTCACAGTGGTACCCTTAAACGCTTTGTCTGATCAAGTATGAATTAGATATTCATGTTTTTGTTTTTCAGAACTGATCATTTTCATCATGTGTTTTCTCCATACAAGGTTTACTTGCGCATTTCTTTCTTCAGAAACAATAGACTGCAGAGTGTTAGAATTAAACACTTTTCAAGCAAAAAAACGACAATATCTTCCACATTATTGATTAGCTTAAGGTTTCATGAGTACCGTTGTGAATTGGACATGCCGTCTTTAAAAATGTGGGTTTACTTCAGAATACAATAGCAGATTTAAAGATTGTGAAGGTTTAAGGTTAGTGTTATATACAAGTCCATCATATAGTTATCGTTGATACATTTATAGTTTCAAATTTTCATATTTCATCTAGCATCTACACTCTACAGTGTTTCTTTGTTTAGGATTTAATACAGTGAAGGTTAGATAATCAACATTTTCTGGGGGGGAGGGGGGGGNAGTATATAGGAATTCATGGAACAGTTTATTGTACGATAGGAATTCATGGAACAGTTTCGTAGCACAGTAGGAATTCATGGAACAATTTAGTAGTATAGTTGAAATTCATATAGCACAGTAAAGTAGTACAGAAGGAATTCATGGAACATTTTAGGAGTACACTAGGAATTCATGGAACAGTTTAGTAGAAAGTAGGAATCTATAGAACAGTTTAGTAGTACAATAGAAATTTTTTAAATAGTTAATTATAACACTCAGAATTCATGGCCAACTTATATAGTAGATTGGGAATTCATGGAGATGGAACAGTGTACTTATTCTGTATAAATAAACGTAAATGAACTAAGTTTCATTCTCGTGCACTCTTAAAAAGTATATAGCAGAAACAAGGAAGAAAATTTACAGAATTTGTCAAGATAGAAAAACTCATTGATACTTATATAAAGGTTCAAAGCGTACCGTTGTTAATCAGGTATGTAATTATCTTTGATAATTTTATATTGACTGAGTAAAGTAAGCTTTGTCGATACAATCAGAAAATATGTATCAATGATTAGATTATCTTCTTTATCTTAAAAAAGAACGTTGATAATGAATATTTTAGACAATGAAAGAATAAAATCTACATGACAGCTTTTAAGGTGAAAGTTTCGGGATGAGGGATTTATGAAGTTAAATGATTAAGGTTAAAGAAATATTGGTGTAGTTGGACTCCCTATGGCAAATAGTAATTATGAAATATCGTACTTTGTATGACCCCCCCCCCCACACTATTGGTTGCGCTAACACATAGTTAGGTGTAAACTTGATGAATATATGCCCATATTGTATATTTTAATGATCACATTGTTTAATCGGAAACCCGACAAAAAGTCCATTTAAGGAGTTTGGGGAATGATAACAATTATTCGTGTAAGGCTGGTTCAACCTTGTCGGAGTTCTGAGAAATGAATATGAACCTTGTATTTCGTAGCGGATTCTCTTGGATTCTGCTGGATAACTGTTGAGTGTAGATACTAGATAGTACAACTACCAAGGAATTCACTTGTTGTCGCATCTATACACACTGCACAGGGGTTGGATGGGGAGGGGGAGGGTAAGGGAGATTAATACCAAAAATAAAAGAAAAATGAAAATGGCTGGACTAATGGAGGCAAAGGAGTTGAATCCCGATATCTTAGTAACCTGATGGTGTAACCCTTTGATGTTTTAAACTGAGATTAATTGATCTGTCAGAATTCATAGTTTGAAATATCTAAGGTCTACGACATTGGGGTTTAAAGATAAAGGTATTAGAAAAGCAGAATTCCTTTGCAACATTCTCGGACACCGTGTGGGTTTTTATTGCTGGAATTTATATTCAACTATGTCCAACAAATATACTCCTGCAAGTGTTTAAAGCTCAAATATGTGAATATTAAGGAAATTAAGAGTTTGCTATATTAATGTTTAATCATGCTGAAGTACGCATTAAGTAAGAATACTGCAAGTGCACAAACTTTTAAGAATTGAAAACCCTTGAAAGATAGATAGGTACTTTGCTTGACTGTTTGTCGTTCTGTTTGTTTGTATCAAATAAACGCCAAAAAGGGTAAACCGTTTGGGTCCAAATTTCTTTTTTCTGGCATCCATATAATTTTGAATTTTTAGGGTGTAAACCTTTGATATTTCAAACTTAAATTATTTGATCTTACAGAGTTGTATGAAATATCTATAAGGTCTAATAGATTGGTTTGTACAGATATAGAGATTAGAATATCAGAGTTTGTGACAAAGACTCAATTTCTTCATCTGTCTTTACGTATCTAAACAAAGAAGTTATTTATTTCTACTAGGCTTTTAGGGCGCTTTGCGCCCATCTTCTATTTAAATTGTGAATATGTTCTTTTTGTTTACATTTCAAAACTAAGAAGACAAAAATTTTGCGGATTTAAAAAAAGAATTCGCGGATTTTAAAGAATTTAAATTATTTTTACAAAATTTAAAACCTTTAAAACACATTTTTTTAATTTTTATCATTCATAAACCTTCCCTGTGGTCACGTGATGTCCCACAAAAAATTTGGGCCCAAACGGTTCAGCCGTTTTGACGTTTATTGGATACAAACAGCCAGACAGACAAGCCAAATTTATATATAGATTGTATGAATATAACAACTATACTTACACACAATTTCAACACATTTACACATGTGAAATATAAGTTATCTTTTTATTATCAATATTAACAATTTTATATATATTGAAATCAAAGATCAATAGTTTGGCAAGAAATGTGTTTGTGGGTTTTTTATTTAAACCAATTGTTGATCAATGATTACAATTGAAAATGATAAAGAAGTTGTCAAAATAAATATATTTCTCCTGATATCGTTTCAGGATAAAGAAAATAAGAAAGACAATATATGGAAGAACAGTCAACGAAAGAGCTACAAGAAATCTTTAAATGTACTTTTCTCCCCCCCCCCATCCTTCATCTCCCCGCCTTACTTGGCTTCCCCCTCTCACCTGGCTTCCCCTAGGGTGTGAGATGATTTGTTGGGTTTAGGATGAAGAGAACCTTAACCAGGGACAAGGTCAAATATTAGTCTTCATTCTTCCCAGGAAACCTGAATCTACCCAACCCAGAACTGAATATATCATCACAATCTACTCTCCGACAACACTTTTTATTTGGGATTCTTAGTCTGATAGAAGATTTGAACACAGTTCATTTATACAGTACAATATCACGGAACAGTGTAGTACATAGTAGTATATAGGAATTCATGGAACAGTTTATTGTACGATAGGAATTCATGGAACAGTTTCGTAGCACAGTAGGAATTCATGGAACAATTTAGTAGTATAGTTGAAATTCATATAGCACAGTAAAGTAGTACAGAAGGAATTCATGGAACATTTTAGGAGTACACTAGGAATTCATGGAACAGTTTAGTAGAAAGTAGGAATCTATAGAACAGTTTAGTAGTACAATAGAAATTTTTTAAATAGTTAATTATAACACTCAGAATTCATGGCCAACTTTAATAGTAGATTGGGAATTCATGGAGATGGAACAGTGTACTTATTCTGTATAAATTAAAAAAAATGAACTAAGTTTCATTCTCGTGCACTCTTAAAAAGTATATAGCAGAAACAAGG